CAACTTTAAGGTGCATACCGCCACCTCCGGAGTCGGCTTGACTCGGTTTGCATTTATAAAGAATGCACACATGTGTTTAATCGTTAATGTCAGATATGTACTAAGTAAACACATTTGTTCCTGCTCAAGATTAGATTCAACTTTATTGTTATTGCACATATTACAGGTACTGAGACAACGAAATGCAGTTTAGCTTCTAACCAGGAGTGCACAAAGCAGTAAAGTGAAAAGTAATGTAGCCTACACAATCTACAGAATAAAAGATAGAATGAATTGAAGGATGAATACACAGTGAGGGGTATGAATACACTAGATGTACACAGCAGCCTGTGAGCAGTATACTGAACAGTGTGTATGAATATGCTAAGATATATAAAGAATGAAAACGGTAAGCAGTGCAAGTATAGTATATTCTTTCACACACACATACAGGTTTTGGGCCGAGGGCGACACCGTACTTCCGGTATCAACCATTTCACACGAGGTGCATACAGAATATCATAGTCGATTGCCTTAATCAATATAGTCAACTCTAAAATACCACATATATGCATTGGCATGATAATATTATTGTGACAAGTGGGGTATTCACCTGGTGTTTCCAGAAGATAGACGTAGATGCAGCCAAAATCGACCGAAGGCCACTTTTGAGGGTCGTAATTCCATACATTGTACATCCAACAACCCACACAGCTCTAGTTTACGCTGGTAACGACCTAGAGCACACCCCTCAAGTCCAGAGATGTAATCCGAAGACATGCAGCGATTTCTTCGGTCGTTAATTCAGAAAAAAAATCTAGTGCGCTCTGCCTGGCTACATAAGCTAGCTGTTTATATTAGCATTCCCAGGATTTTTGCACCTCCAGAAAAATGGCGTCTTTATAAAAAGATATATAGCGCGCGTTGCATTGTGGGTAGCTGTGACGTCACTGTGTGTGAAAGAATATTCATGATGATAAACATTGTGGAACAATGATGAAAAATGTGAATGGAAGTGGCGACGTAAAACTGACACAAACAACAACAAACTTTTGCCGAGCCAATTGGACAGTTTCATCAGGAGCACGTGGTAAACCACCAATGAGCGCTCAGCTTGAGATACCAGCGAGTCGTTTCCAGTGGCGAGCCGTCAGGGCCCTCTAGGCCCTCTGTGAGGGCCTAAGATATTCTAAAAAATAATATTTGAAAACATTAAAAAAAAAAGTTTTAAAACAAATATTTAAAAAAATATTTTGTTGTTGTTACATTTTTCATTAGTTTTACCAAAATAACTTGATTTAATTGTATTTAAAATAATATTTCCGAAGAAATAAATCCTTCGAATCTGCCTGTTCAGTTTCTGTTGGAATGTGAAGGGTTAAATGCCGTCTCTGCGAGTTATGTGAAGACGGGAGAGCTTGTTGGTCCCTCTCTACATTCACAGAGGGCCAGCTATAGTAACTCAACGAGAGAGTAATGTCAAATGACAGTACAATTGACCAATCATATCTTCCCTCTAAATGGGCGGGCTTTATTTTCGCGGACTTTAAGACAAGTTCCGCCCGCTGTGAGGTCTATGCAAGTGGTGCAGTGACGCATCCTATAACCCGGAAGTAAGCTGCGCTCGGATTCCCTCGACAGAAAGCAGTGGGATTTCTCCAGAGGATTTTGGAAAATAGCTTGAAATAAGGTCTGTGGAAAACGAACCTGTTAGATAAATGCACGTTTTGTTCAGCCGGATAATATCCACATGTCTACCCTACTTTTATTATTTTCGAATCATAAATCTAATCGATAGATTTATGATCGATAGATTTATAATTAGCATACATTCGTTCATGATGGCTCACTTCAGTGATAGTGATGACATCGTTGCGAAATGATTAACCGAGTCATTTTCAAGATTGAGTTACAATGATAAATTGGAGTGGCAAAGGATCAGCTGAATTACCCGCCATCAAGTGCTTCATCCAATAGGACAGGAGGATGGACTTTGTGTTTAAGTGATTTGATCATCAAAGGTAGGCCCAAGTCATTTTCAATGCGGGCCGCCGTGCTGACTTAATTCATTTTTAATTGTTACTTGGCTGTGGGTGCCCTGTCATGATAGGTGTTTATATAAATGGTGTTGTTCTGTGTGGTAGAGGGTCGCTGTCATTGATGCGTTTTGCACCCCAGCCCGCTGTTTTGATATTCCGCTGAAGAATACGCTGTGACGTAATAACTCTTCTTTTTTTTCTCGAGGGAAAGGGGGGTCAGAGGGCCTAGGTATAAAAGTCACGGCTCGCCACTGGTCGTTCCCATGGATGTATAATAAGAACTGGATACAGTGTGGGAGGCGGGGCCTCATTCATTCCTATGAGAGCTGCTCATTAGCGCATGATGATAAAATGGCCCACCTTTTGAGAGAGTGAAACGTCACAGATTACCCAGCATGCCTGAGAAGTACCCGTATGTGCGCTCATAGAGCATGCGCAACTTTAACCAAAATGCTCGTTCACATCAAGCACGTCAATTTGCGTACACGTAACAGCACCGCGCGTTCATGACAGCATGGTAATGGATTGTTGTTATCATGGATTTGATATGAACGAGGCGGCAGTTAGCAGCTAGCGGCTAGCTAGTAATGATGCTAATGTACAAATCAATCGTTATGTACTTATATTACGCTGTAACAGGATCTAGTGATATCCAACAGAGCTTCATTTAGCATGAAATAATTATTGCACTGTATATATATATATATTTATATAGGCCTACAGTGCAATAAGCTTCTTAGTGCAATACGAAGCTACAGGGACGTTAATAATGTCGGTAATATTAACTTTATTTAATACAACATTTACGGTACAAGATTTAATCATACAGCCCATGTAGTATGATAATGAATTACAGCAAACATGTGCAATATATCCATTATTACAGCTCCGTGGGATGGCAGTAAGACGATATGGATCCGTTCTTATTGTGCATCCATGGGTAAAGATAAACGCAACTCACATTGGTTTCTCATACAGCATCTCTGTAAACTACGTGTATTCACTGAATTTCACTCTCTGCCTTTAACGGCTCGTTGTAGCTCCAATAGCTTCAGCCCCCACCTTCCCTGTGAGCACAGTGTGCTCTGATTGGTCGGGACACGTAACATGTCCCGTGGGCTAGATGCGCGTTCATAATGCAGAGGGAAATAACTCTCAGAATAACGTTATTAGCACATTATTACAACTTGAGGAACGAATGTTTTTAATAAGGGCTATACAAGTGTTCATACTGGGTAGTTTATTTAGTTTAAAAAAAATTATCCTACGAGTTACAGACCACTCTTTCCCCATGTAAGTCAATGGGAAAAAGTGTTTCCGGGCCTGGCAACCAAACGGAAGTGTAGTACCGCCGTTTGGCCAGCACGAATATTTTCATTTGAGTCCGGCGCACTTCCTGGGGGCTTGGTCGTTCCCCATCAAGCATTTCGCTTCCGCAGCCCGTGGAGAGGAACTGCGCCACTTCGCCGCGCCTCGCTCTCAAGGCTGCGGGCGTCTTTGTCCCGCGAGATTTCAACGTCTCATGTAGGCGAGCCTCCAGAGCAAGTCGGACAAAATGACTAACCATCATGCAACGCACTTGCAAGACGTTGATCGCAACTGCGCAGGTCTCGCTTGTCTCAAACAAGCCTAGTGTGTTGCCAAAATAAATATAAATGTGAGGAGATGTGTCAGTCTACTTTGATGCTTTTTAGACTTGTTGAGGTATCCAGTGTTTTACCAACAACAAATGATGGACATGAAAGAGTAAAATATGTTCGGATTTAGCTTAGGACCTCACAGGAGGGGTCCTGGCCCTTCAGGTTGAGAGCCACTGCCGTAACATACACAAACAGTATTTGATATTAACTCCAGACTGGGAATTTGCTCTTTTTGTTCTTGGCATTAAGTGCCTGTACTTTAGTTTGACCTCAGACCAGCCTGGATTGTATGAAACTTGCTGGAATGGTGAACAAGGAAGAACCAAGGAAGAACCCATTACATTTCAATCACACGCTTTATTTTTTACTCATGGAAACATCCCTAGTTGTCAAACTGCCTTCCACTGCTGCATCCCTCCACAGCTTTTGGGGAAGTATTTGAGATTAAACAGCTAAAACTATTCAAGTAAAACAGGGGTGGTGAAACTCATTTTGTATGGACATGCAGACACATTCATTCTAGGTCTCTCAGCGGCTCGGGACTTCTACAGCATCTTGGTGCCCTCTACTGACCAAACATGAACTAGCACCAAGTTCAAACAAACTGTAAATATACATTAATTATAATCAGCAATACGGTTACAAACTACTTATAGGCCAATGTGTCTGTGCTGAATAATGTCAAACATATCTTAACTGAGTATACATCTATGATACTTCTGTCTTTTCCTTTTGCCAAGAAATCCCCATTTCTAACCTTTTTTGTTACTAATTAAAGATAAATTACATTGTTTTCCCCAGAATAGTTTTTACTAATAAGTATGAAAACCCCCGGACCTTTTTAGTATAAAGACGTATCATTTTACATTAGGGGGCTTCATTTTTTTCATATGCCTGTATTATACAGGCATATGAAAAAACAGGCTGTATACCTATTTTCACCCTCAGTTTGAAACCAGAGCCCAGTCTGCTCTGATTGGTCAGCTGGCCGACTCTGTTGTGATTGGTCAACCGCTTAGCTAGCCAATAGAAGCGTGAATGTTCCATAGTGTTGTCACTATGTTACATAAGTAAAGTCCAATGTAGGTGTTTCGGGAGTGAACTCTGCGATTTTACATGCACAAAAAACGATATAACACAGTACAGGAAAATACCCATAAACCTTTCCCAAAAAAAAATCAAATAAGTTAAAACAATTTAGTGAAAATAGGTATGTATTTATTAAATATAACTGCTTCCTTTCAAAGAAATCAAGCAATTAAATTAACTTTCTCTAAAACATATGCGTCTCTTTACCAGCAACCCGACAGACCTTGAAAAAAGAGAAGCAGGAACACAAGGGGTGTTTTGCATCATTATGTACAGCTGTTTTATTTGTGATTTCCCCAAAACATGATCAGTATTTTACTACATATACAATGCATGTAAACAAAGAACAATGGATCAACTTTAAAGACAAAAAGAGCAAAAAGAAAAGAAAAAAGAGCGACACGAAAAAAACAGGCGGTGATTTTGACCACGAAGAGAGACATTGGTTAAGGTACTGTATAACACTAGTTATTTTATATATAGGGCTACTGATGCCATGGCAACTGTTTGCTGTATGTTGAAAAGACTACGTTCCTGCACTGAGGTCGGGTGAGCTTTACTGCATATAGTGGTGTGCGTGTGTGAAGGTCAAAGGTTCTTATCTTGGGACATAACTATAGTTGTTTCTTTTTGTTCTGCCGAATAATGAGTTTAGTTCATTCTGTGGGAGGCCAGTCTGCTGGGAAAGAAAACGCTTACATTCAGTCAAATAAAAGAAAATCATTTCATTAGAAAAAGTAAGATTTGTACTTTACAATTGGGCTATAAATACCAACCTAAACAAATAATCAACCAAGGGGAATACATTAATGAATAAACCAGCAGAAAAAGTCAGGACAAGCCCCTCCCACAATGAATACAATCGATGCAACAATTGTAATAACCGACAAATATGTGGATATGAAGAGAGGAAAAGGATCTGCTGCGGAAACTAAATGAGACGGTCAGCAATACAAAGACGGAGGGTCCTGTATTCTGGATTAAACCCCTGATATTGTCCCAAAATAAGGCTGTGGGTTCTAGGCACACCGAGGTACAACTGAGCTGAGCAATATATTAATGTTTGCTTTTTTGAACTTTCTGTATGAATTTTAAATGTATATCTACTGACCTGGCTACCCCAGGACTTGCTCTAGAATATATTTTTGTATTTTATTTTTTTAAGATGATTATTTTTGCTGAGTATTACGAGAAAAAAGCACAAGTGCATCATTGGCAAAGAACTGCTGGTGAAGGAGAAAGAAGTGCACACAAATGTGCTGCGTGTCTGTGTTGTGTTCAGTGTCTGGCTTTTTTTGTCAGTATTGTGTGTTTGGCTGAGACTTTAAGTGCGTGTGTGTGTGTGTATGAACAAGCACATATGTAAAGAGGTAGCAGAGAAATACGATCAGAGCGAATTACTTCCTATCTATGCAACTGCTCTCCTCAGGTCCAAACACGGGCCACCATTTTTACTCAAAATGACTAAAAGTAGCCTACTGATTTTCCGCGGTACGTTAAATGTTAGTGATAATCAACACATAGATGCAATAAAAGACTTGCATCACTAAATATATAATACTCCAAAGAAAACTTGTTTTACTTCCTATGAGCTGAAACGTAATTAAAGAGTCGACAGAGTGTTCACTAAAGGCGTAGTGTGTCTTTCACAGCATTTTATTTTGAAGGCCTGGTTACCTGAAAGCTGAGTGAGTGCAGCGAACAAACGAAGAAACACACTATTTGGATCTAGGACATCTAAATTAGGATCCCAATGCTATAAACCCTTATCAGACGTTAAGAGGAAAGCCACAGCGGGAGACGAACACAACAGGGAACCTGCGAGAGCAAAGCCAAGCAGAGGGAGACACTTTTTACATGTTAGATGTTAGGAAAGAGCTGGTTTTAAAAGTCTAACTACCACCCCCCTTATCAGAGTCAGACGAATCAACTCCAAGACGTCTGTCCCTGTCTCTGAACTGTTGCATAAAGCTGAAGAAAAGACTGATCGAGAAGTCTGTCACTGTGAATCTAGCACTTTAACTGTAGCCTATATCAAAAAAACTGTCTACTGGACTGAAGGAGCAGCAGCTGCCTCTTGACTCTCGGTGCCCAGTTTCCCTCTAAATTGTCCAACCACGAGCGTTTGACATCCACCATGGCCTCTGGTTTAATGCTACATTCACATAGCAGGCTTTAAGCTAAAGTTACTTACAACTGGTGGATCAAGGATTCTCTAAATTAGCCTGCTTGCTAAACCTTAGCCAGCAGAGTCTTTTTGGTTTTAACTGCTTATATTGAGAACAACTTGGGTCGTAGCAGCACACTTGGCATTTATTGAATGAACACTTGAAAAATAAATGCCAAGTGTGCTACTACGACCCTTTCAATGATTGACAGCTTTGCCATTTACCTTCTTTTTTGTACTTAGAGTTTAGCTGCATTCACATGTCACAGTTGAAATGACTCTGAGCTAACGTTGATGTTGTGTTTCTATGTAGGGAGCCGTTAAGACTACGCGGAGGCGCTTCCCATCGCTCAAAATTGTCCAAAGTTCAAATTATGTAAACTTGACATTGTTTATCGCTGAACATTCAAAGCGCAACCAATCAGATGACAAGCTAGCAGTGGATGTAACAATACAAACATCACCTGACAAGCTGTTTTCACCGCAAGGCTCTGTGCCCGACCTCGAGTTAGCATATCATGTGAATGCAGTTTGAGAAGAAAATGCGCAAATATATTTACGCTGAAATATATATATAAAAAATATTTACGTTTGTTTATTTAAAACAAACGTCGAAAAGGTTGGATATTGTTCACTGCTCAAAATAACGGAGGTTCTTTTAGCTGCTATGTGAACGTTGGTCTTAAGCCACATTGCCACACTTCAGTGACAAAGTGATTGTAATGAGGTCTCCAATAAACTGACTCCAAAGATGTGTAGGCTTATGTTGAGATATGAGGTATAAAACAATCCAGCATTTGAAAACAGAGGAATCTACTGTACATATACAAAAAATAAACCTTAATTACTGTCAACAAATAAAAATGGTTGCTTTATCACAAACACAATCATGCTGCGACAAATATATATATATATATATGTTTGAATATATATATATGTGCGGAGAAGGAGAGGTAGTATGTTGGGTTAAACGCCACGCCAAAGCTTAGCGGAGCGTCATCGGTATAGAGTCGGATAGAGAAAACACAGAGATCTCGTGAGTAAAGCAGAAAAACGGTTAACATGTAGAAACATTGGGATCCACTGGTATACTGACTGGTTTACTGGCAACTAGTTTACTGTACGTTTGCAATAAAAACTGAGGAGAGTTCTGGCATGTTTGTGTGAATGTTTGGTTCCCTTAAAGGCTGATGTGAAGAAGTCATCCTGTAAAATATTGAGGTATCTGTTAAATGTATCCAGAGTGAGGTTTCTGAAAGTAAGGCTACTGAGGTGGAGCTGACCTGGGTTGAGAGGGGAGAGAGCATCAGCTACAATACTCACGTTAGCCATTAGTGAACAAAAACTGTCATGTACAACCGTTACAAATGTAGTATTCCATTGTGATGTCGAACAACAGCGGAGCAAAGCTAAATAACTAATGTTTTTTTGTAATGGATTTCGTATTTGCTTTCGCTTTTTTTTTTTTAAAGTCTAAAATTCCAAGAGCTGCAATGCGAGAAATAGTCAGAAAATGAATGTCACACTTTGGGTTCTGGAGGCGACTTTCCCTCAGTCGCCGCTGCCTGTAGAACACGTCACTACATCTGTAGATTCTCATTTTGAAAAATAATTGTATCTCCTAACATCTTCTGTACAGATTCTACACAGTCTTCTGGAGGTCAAATACCAACGTTTTCTGGGGTCCGATTTCTACAGTCTGTTTTTTTTTTTTCAAAGTTTGAAAGTGACACGTCCAATTCCAAAGCAGCTACATCTCCCATCAGCCGTTTTGTGTGGCTGCTGAGTTAAAGCTATGAAGAGTAATCCTGCTGTGATTGGCTATTGCAGAAGAAGAGGTGGTTAGATGGTTGGGTGACGGATGAGGAAGCACGCCCATGCTGCTGCTAAAACAGTTGGCCATTGGCTAATTCCTGGATCAGTCATTTGAGGCAGTGTTAGTTCATGATCACTTGATTATGTTTGACATGCTGCTTCTGGAAAGCGCATGTCGGGTTTTGTTTTTCAGAGCGGGGGATCTGCCTTTTTCTTTGTCAATGGAACGATTGTTTCTCTTCTGTGTGTTTGTTCCTCTTGGGTGGAGCTCCAGGTGGTTCTATTCGTATTCCACAAACAAAAGGAACAAGAATGAGTCCGTTCCCTGTCCAACTAATTCGTATGAAGTTGCTTGAAATCCAGTTGTTCATCTTGCAGTAGGAAAAAGGCTCCAGAAGTCCACCGGGCTCCAGCACAGCAAGCCAAAGCGCTAGCAGGGAAACACTGACACACAATCAAATTGACAATCTTGAAAATAAAATAAAGAGAAGCAAAACAAACAGATTTTCACCAAAATGAAATGGATATACTGTATAATTGTCAAAAGCTTATCGATAGACTTTAGAAACAGAGAAAGAGAAAAGATATACATCCATAAGCTCGGAATGGACAGAGCAGACGCCTCCTGGTGAGGACGCACTGAGCTGTTAGGAGTCTTTTAGAAAGGCTGCCGGATGGTGCGACGAGACTCAGCCAGTCGGAATGATCGACACTTCCACCACTGGGAATGTTCGGCTACATGAACCCTTTCAATTATTACACGACAAATTTCGTCGGAGTCCCATCATCACATTCATAAGAGCATCATCAGGACTAGGGTTGCAACATTCCGGGAATTTTCAAAGATGGAAACTTTCCACGGGAATAAACTGGGAATTTTCCAAATTGAAGGTTGGCTCTTCATAGGGAACTTAAATATAGTTGGAGAAAGTATATTTTAGCATAATCTTGACTAAAACAAACAGATGCCATTCAAGTACACTTGAATATCCATGCCATAGCACATAGCTATTGAGCCCACACAAAGGTTCGCAACAGGCTCACAAATGTGAGAGTGGAAAAACTGGTTGGCATTCGGGCAAACCTAAGGCTCTTTGAGCCTGACACAGAGCCATCCGCAACAAGGCTGGACAGTGACACTGAAGAGGAAGAGGAAGAGTTGGATGTTGATGAGGCCCAGGAAGAGCCTGTTGACTGAAAGGGTTTAGCAAAAATGCAGAGGATTGCTTGAAGGAAGATGTGCATGTTTAATGGGACTTTTTGGAGGGAGAAGGGCTCTTTTCATTTAACATTTTGAATGGGACTTTGTGGGGATTTTTGGATGGGGGGTGCATTTTTGTTATTTTTTTAATGAGTGGGGTTGGGGGGGGATGAGTAATATTTAATTCAACATTCCTGTTTTCGTTCTTCAATGAAACAAATAATTGTTCAATAAAATAATTAAAACTTGTTCTGTTCTACTTAAAAAAAAAAAAAAATGTAAAAGAAAAATCTGTTGAAATGTCATGTTTTTTGTTTAATTTTGCATCGAATATTTCCAAAATTCCCCAGCTTAACTTTCCGGAAATTTACCGGAAATGTTCCGACCCTTTGCAACCCTAATCAGGACAGGGTTGGACCAATGCTGGACACCTATTATTACTATTCATTATTATAAGAACTGCACAATGCATTTGAATTGTATCAAAGACGGAACTTGCACTTGTGCAATATTAAAATTGAAAGATGCACAATAGGAGATAATAACACATGTTTGTTTGTTTCGGATCCTCTCTTAAAATGACACAAAGCTTCTTCTTAAAATATATATAAGACGATTATTTTTGCAAAAAGGATCAATCCCTCCAATACCGTGAATCATATTGCAATTAAAATATTAGTCAAAGTAATCGCAAGTATTTTTTTCTGCAGAAGTTTCCCTTACAAATATTATTATTTTAGGGATTACATTGGTAAAGGTCGATCTGTGACACACCATCTGTATCTTTGTTTTATATAAAACAGTTTTAACTTGGCTGAAAATGATAAGCGTAACACTTTCTATGAGGCCATGCGTTATGACATCATTCAAATATGTTATATACTTTTTATAGCACTATAGTTAAAGACCTCAAAAATATTCAATCATACAAAATAAAACATTTATATGATGACTTATAAGGCCAAGCATCATGATACTTTATATTTGTCACTCTGATAGTTGTAAAACTTTTTTGCGTTATGCATTATTATCTCTGCTATTATGCATTATAATTTGAATATGAATTACTCTAAGTGGTTAAAGTATAAATCAATATATATATGCAAGAACACACTTAAAGTAACATATGTGCATTATAACAGTGACTATGCATAATATAAAAAAAGTATAAAGTATTACAACTCTGGGAATAAAGATATATGACGCAAGTGATTATAAGGTTGTATGATACTTGACCTTATAAGTCATTATAACATGTTCTTAAATTGATATTGTTTTAAAGATTTAAGAATATTTATAAGGCCAATAATAATGAGACAGTGCCATAAGCAGATTATAATGCATTTAAGGTATAGATAGGTATCATAGAAAGTGATACTGTAAAAATAAAAAACATATCAGCTTTCTGGTCCAACCCGTGTCCAGCAGTCTTTTTTCAAACGCTCCGACCAGCTCAGTCACATGACCAGGATCTCCACCTCTGTCCATTCTAGTTGAATACAACATAAGAGTCCATCTCCTAATTGCATATAGTGCTGCATCTCCAGAGCATCTTGCCATCGACAGTTGAGTTCTCTTAGTATTTTGTCTACATTAATCTCTAACTATGTACAGACTTAGCAAGTGGTATTTACAGAGTTTGTCCACAAGGGGGCGATGCAGGCCTGCGAGAGAGGGTGAGCATGCACTGTGTCGAGAGAAATGATATGTAGTGATGTTTTAACATCCTAAACCTTGCTTCTGTGGCTGGTGTTGAAATGGATCAAAATGTGACCCAAAAAAGAAGAAGTATGGCGCTTGATTACGTGTTTCGTTATAAAAGGTCTCTGTTCAGCTGTACGTTACAATGCTTCCTTCATCTTTACTTTTCCCTGAATAAAATTACCTTAAGGCTTATATAAATCACTGTTTTTTTTTAATGTGGCCATTTAATGAGAAGACCAGCTTTAACAGTGATCTCTAATGGATTGTACAAACCATCTTAAGTTTTTCATGAACAGATAAAGAGTAAACATTTTGTAGTAATTGTTATTTCAAAAAACGTTTAGCTTACTTATACTGTTATGTAGTTCGATTAGAAGTCACAGTGATGCCTAGAGCTTCGAAAACGATCTCTGCCTTATGATTGTAAGCTAACGCCACACACACCATAAACACCAAGTACACAAAATCATCAGACAAACTTTTCCCTGAGGCAACAGCCGGTAAGTCGGTTTCTGTCCAACTACCTGGCCCTAACTGTTTTAGCAGCAATCTAACCAGCCGAGTACATTTTTTTGTTGGGGATAATCTCTATCCACAATGTTTGTTTATGTCAGTCTACAAAATGCATGCACTCTCAGGTTAAAGCCTGCACGCACCCCCTTGTGGTCCATCAGGATTCTCATATACTGTACACACATCACAAAAATAAAAAAGGACTCCTCACACACTTCTCATCGCTTTCTTATATGTGACGACACACACAGAACTGAGGAGGGGCCTTCAGATCCTCTACATTATACAACAATATTTGCTTCCACGGAAGCAACCATGAATGCTCTCTTAAATATATATATATGTATATATATATATATATATATATATTTATATACCCATATATATCAGCTTATACGTATCATTTATATTTATATAGCATTATACATACATTCTTGTTTTGTGAAATTCCCTTTGTCTTGTGAACAGGGAATTCCAACCGTAGCATATCCCTCCCTCCAGCTACCACACCTCCGTGACTCCAAATCCAACTTCTCTTGTCACCGTTACCACACTGAAACATTCCTACTGTAACTTCCTTTCTTTTCTCCAGCTGCACATACACAGAAACACAGCCTGTCTTAACCAAGAATTTTTAAAGTTTTTCCACTATATTATCGTAAGCTAGCTGGCTGTGTTGATGTTTAATATATTTGGATATCTTTGCTGTCGATAAATCAACATAGCGATCTAGGTGTAGGAACATTGCTTGCGTATAATTTGTACCTAACAAGTGCCAGCGTGGTTAATAGATGTAAATCTGTGAATTTATTCCTCGCACTTGTTATGAGGATGAAGGTTATAAGGGGATGTGACCGTCACATCCGTCACGCTGTCAAAACAAAAAGAAAATGGCAGGAATCTAGCAGTGATGTCCGGAAGGAAAGGAGGTGAGCAGAAAAAGGCGATATTTCATTTGAGTTTGCGAATGAGGATCAGGATGTCGATCTACTTCAGAGTCAGGATATCTGCCTGACCTTTAATGTGGTACTGTGTACCAGAGGTTAAAATATAATCTGGTTATCCAAGGTGCTGCAAAAATGCAGAGCATATCCAGGTGTCTTAAATCCGGAAATCCGGAGCCTTGCCGCTCGAGGTCAGGTGACGATGAGGAGGAGGTGAAGGTGACCATCTACCTACGGGATTATCCATCCTTCTCCCTTGTGTCTATCAGAGCTGGGGTTCCGTCGGGGAAAAGAAGGCGGCAGGGGTCGGTATATCTTCCTGTGATGTGTGGTGAGTGTGTGTGTGTGTGTGTGAGCGGGCTTCCTCCACTGCTATGACACCTCGCTGCCGAACACTTCCAGCACCAGCGGGGTGAGCTGCATGCTGTGCTCGGGCTGGAAGGAGAGAGAGCGGTACTGCTTGGAGTGCTCCTCGTTCAGGCTGCGCAGGTCGGCCAGCTTCTGGATCATCTTGGCGTAGAGGAGGCGTCCGCCCGGGTGGTTCACCTGGATGTAGGCCTGCAGCGCCTCCGACAGGTGGTCCTGCAGCTGCTCGATGCGACCGTGGTCCTGGACTCCAGGGCGATCTACCCATCAGGGGATGAAGAGGGGGCAGTGGTGGAAAATTGTGAGGGAGGTCCAAGAGGAAAGGAGGAAAGCAAGAGGAGAGAAGGAAGGGCACAGGGAGAAGGAAGAGGAAAGAAGGGTTCAGGTGGGGAGAGGGATGGATGGAAAGAGAACATCAGTCAGATCGTTGTGTTGATTTAGACTGTAGTGATCAAACTAATATTCTACATTCCTAATATATATATTATTAGTTTCATACTACTTGCAGAACTGCATTACAGTGGTGGCTGCGCAGGATTGTTTTCGACTCGTGAAATCGAAATTATTTGAAAAACGATAGATGTGATCATTTGCAAAATCCACATCCACATGTTATCTTATGAGAAGTCAGCATCAATCCATATTTGTTGGCATTTGAACTTTCTCAAAACAAAATGTTCACACAAATGGATGCACGCACCTGTATTAATGGTTCGCCTAGCAGCAGCCATGTAGGACGTTTATCCAACAAAATAACAACTATCCCTTTCTACCACTTATTGTAAACTTTATCAAAAACATCAATGAAAAATGTGGATCACTGCCCTTGTTTCCTTTCTCGAAGGGGATGAGAGAACATATGTTTAAAAAAAGGCCATCCTTGGCTGAAAAAAAGTGTTCAAGCTTGTGGAAAATGTTGAGTTTCCAATAGCGAGTGTGCGTTAGGGCTGCACGGTATTGAAAAAAACTGACATCGCGGTTTTTCCCCCCCCTGCGGTATATATTGCGTTTTTTTTAACCTGTTAAACCCCAAAGTCCCGGCGGGTACTTTACTTTTTTTTTTCACGACAGTGTCTCAGGGGATCGTAATATTTAAGAACCTATTAATGTGTTATACCAGATTAACAGAAATAACTCAGCTAACTGACGATACAAACCATTTTATACCAAAACAAAACACAAGTCTCATAAGAAGCATCTAAATGACACCTGAGCGAAAAATGCTAACGCACTTTGGCACAGAACTCAAGATAAAAGTACCCTTATTATTACTTATCGTAGCTGCACTTACAAGATATCCGATTAAAGCTGAGGTTCCACAGATTATTTAGGTATATAGTATCATCACTGAGTGATCTGAACTCGGACAGGGGAAGCAAACACAGACATCACAACACGTAGCTTCGAGGGGAGATGTCTCACCGTAGCTGTCAATCTGATCAAAAGACGTGTTCAATGGCATTAAAACGAGAAAGAAAAAACGCGGCTGAATCGGTTAATCCATAGGTTTTTAACGTCTCTGTATAAAAAAATGATTTAATTTATAATCCATAATTCCATTTTTATGTAAATATCGCAGAGCAAAAATTAGCTACTAATGGTAGCCACCAGAGTGGCTGCTGCTTCCGGTCTTGGCTATGCGGAAGTCTCTCACACACACATTACAAAATAAGGACTGTGTGATTTTCCCTCGATTCCATTGGCTCTGACGGTCAGAAAGAGATGTCACATGTCAAAATCCAGCAAGGTGGGCCAGAGATATGGAAAATCCACCCAAATGGCCCCAAAAGAGGTTTTTTTGTGTGCTAAATCTGTCTAAAAAGGTCAAATATCAGGGGAAGTTCTACACACACCAACACATGAAAAAATAAGGAGTGAGAGTGACGACGCGTAGCCAAAACCGGAAGCTGCATACCACCAAGGTGGCTACCATTAGCAGCTAACTTTTGTGATCCTATTTTTACATAAAAATGGAATTATGGATTATAAACAATTGCTTCAAAGCCACAGATACAATCAACCGATTCAGCAGCGTTTTTTCTTTCTCGTTTTAATGCCATTGAACACGTTTTTTGATCAGATTGACAGCTACGGTGAGACGATCTCCCGTAAAAGCTCCGTAAAAGGTACGTGTTGTGATGTCTGTGTTTGCTTCCCCTGTTGCGAGATCGGATCGCTTAGATACTATACTTAAATAATCTGTGGAGTCTCAGCTTTAATCGGATATATTGTATGTGCAGTTTCGATAAGTAATAAGGGTATCTTTATTTTGAATTCTGTGCGAAAGTGCGTTAGCATTTAAAAAAAAAAAGAATAAAACCGCATGTCCCTGCGGTGTGAATACCGCGGTTATCGCCATGACACGGTATATCGTTCATCCCTAGTGTGCGTCATCTATTCTTGAAGCGGCTTTCCTCCCTGGCCTCGTTCAATTATTACGTTAATTCACTGTTTTCGGCTGAAAAGCCCAATGAAGCACAAACAGCATAGATATGCGTCATTCCTTTCTAACACTGTGTTGTACCTTCATGTTTTTTCAGTATTGAAGACCTACACTGTTTGTACTCTCCTGACATAGTGTTGTTATTAGTCAATCTAGTAACACTCTCTCTTAAAAAAAAACACTGGAACACACAAGCAGTACCTGGGGAGAGCAGGCAGATGGCCATGAGCAGCACGTGTTCCTCCTCGTGCAGGTTGAGTTTCTTTAGACCAACCTGGAACTTCACCAGCGGCTCCAACAGATCCAGAGTGTGACCCGCTAACATGAAAAAGAACACAAACACACCGTTAGTGCTGCAAACATGAATTGTGCTTTTTTGTTGATTTATAAGTGAAAACACACTCTATACAGCAGTGGAGAATGTTTATTTCCCCATTGCGGACAGAGAGCATTGCTTCCTGCCCTGCACGTGTGAGTGAAAAAGGACTGAGTGTGTGTAGCTGCTTTATTGCTTCCATGAAAATACCTGCAGTCAAAACCTCACAGTAATGTGCAAGTGTGCATAGAAAAGCAGCATGTGGGTGACGCTTGTAAGGGTACGTTATATAAGGTGTGAGAAGAAAAAAGAAAAAAGGAATCACAGCTGTGTCATCAGCTTCAACGTTGAACACGCTTCTGTACTTGAGACTGTGTACTTGCGTGCAAAGGAACCTTTTGCCAATGCAATACTCAATGATGCGGCCTTGGTGGAAACATCGGGAGTGCTGGCTACACAAGGATGAAGTATGGAAGCCTATTTATGCCAATGTGTTGAAAGAAATGTTTTTATTGTAAAAGTCTTTATAATGAGAAACCTATAATGACTTAGTATCACACAATGATGAGAAACTTTCTTTTTGCCACATTATTTTGTAATTATTTCAAAATATAAGTCATTTTCTGAAATACTCTTTATTTATTCACTTAAAGGTGGGGTAGGTAATTCACATCAGAAACACTTTTTGTTATATTCCATGGAATGCTCTTAACATCCCGATAGCAATGAATATATTTAGGGATGCACGATATTGGTTTTTTGAAACCGATACCGATACCGATAACTTCCTGCTTCTCAAGACCGATACCGATAACCGATAATAAAAAAAATGTTACGCCACTAATTATTTTAACGCGATTAACGCATGTGTATTTTTTTTCCTTGGCCACCCCGTAGTTTCAGAGCGCATCGAGTTTAAAATACCATCTAACCCTAAAAATACCATCTACAAGCTGATGCTGACTGATGCCCGCTTGTGGCAGACCACACTTCCACACTCACCGGCAGGCACCGACTGGCCATCTGGAGGACCGGGAGGGTGTGTGTATGTGTGGCCCAAGCGAGCAAGAGAGAGACCTTACGTGCATTGTTGTTGTTAGCATCTGGTGCTAGCTAGCTGCGCTAACGGATATAAGGAGCTGTTTAAATGAAAAAAGAGGAGCGACATTTCGCCACAACTGCGCCGAGCACTTGACTTTATGCAGGAAGCCAGACAGTGGGACATTGTACGAAAAGTCAGCACACTCAGCACGGATAGTGCGCAACATGATTGCAGCGTCCAGGCAGCTCCGGTTCGAGCATATGCCTTGAGTTGCACATAGCTCCAACGCCCATACCACCGACGACATGTTTGTTTACTGTCCTGGCTTCACGGCCGCACACCATTTACGTCACAGCCAGGCATGAGTTAGGGAGCGCTGGATTTGTGAAGAAGTCCCCTCTTCCTAAACCACTAATACCACAGTACTGGCAAAACGGGAGGAGCCGAGTGAAAAACAAGCGCCCCTCATCCCAATCCACCCACACCGCAGTATTTTTTTATTTTTTTTTTACCCAAAAAATATATTGTATATTATCGGGGCTATTAATACTGGTATCGGGTTTATCGAGATGACGTCATAATTCCTAATATCGGACCGATAATTATCGTGCATCCCTAAATATATTAAATGCTTTGACAATAAATACATACAAAAAATGTCATCAGTGGAAGCCGTGGCGCTGTAAAAATCACGACCAATTATTTTCACCGGCCCGGCTAAAGTAACTGGATGGCCTACCTGCCTGTCAGCCTTCCATCTGTGCACAAACTTATCTCGTGCCCTCCTCGCTGTCCCATGGAACCGTCCCCTCTGCCTTCAAAAACTGCTGCCGTTACTCCGCCCCATCTCCAACCTACCATTCCTCTCAAAAACTCTTGAACGCATTATAGCCAAACAAATTCACTGCCATCTCCAAACCAACCAGCTTTATGAACCCCTTCAGTCTGGATTTCGTCCTCACCACAGTACAGAAACGGCACTCCTCAAAGTCCTCAATGACCTCCTCACCTCTGCTGACAGTGGTTCCCTCAATATTCTCATCCTCCTCGACCTGAGTGCAGCCTTCGATACCGTGAGCCACACCATCCTGCTCACCCAACTCAGGGACATTGGTATTGAAGGTATTGCACTCAGATGGCTCCAGTCCTACCTCACTGAACGATCCCACTTCATCTCCCTCCCCAACCTCTGCCACAGCCTCAGTCACCCAAGGTGTTCCTCAGTCACCCAAGGTGTTCCTCAAGGATCAGTACTTGGCCCCCTCCTCTTCATCATTTACATCCTCCCCCTCGGTCAGATACTCCGCCACTTCAACCTGGACTTCCACTGCTATGCTGAGGACACTCAGATCTACCTCAGCACCAAATCCCTCCATAACCCACCCCTTACCCACATTGTCTGACAGCTATTAAAACTTGGATGCAACATAACCTCCTAAAACTGAACAGCAACAAAACAGAACTCCTCCTAATCGGCTCCAAATCCACCCTCAGCAAGGTCACTAACATAACATTCAACTATTTTAAATAACTATAGGCCAATCTCTAAATTGTCAGTTCTGGCGAAGGTGCTCGAACGCCTAGTGAGTGAACAGGTGTTTTTATGTAAAAATGATATCCTGTCTAAACATCAGTCAGGCTTCAGAAAACAACATAGCACCATCAATGCCACAATGAAAGTGGTGAATGACATTACGAGTATTTTAGACAATAAGCAGAGTTGTGCAGCTCTCTTTATTGACCTTTCCAAAGCGTTTGATACCGTCGATCATCGCATCTTAAAGCAGAGGCTACTCAGTATCGGCATATCCAGCCATGCAGTGGGTTGGTTTGTGAACTACCTCTCTGAAAGGTCCCAATGTGTTCACTTTGATGGGCTGTCTTCTGAGTGGTTTAACATTACTAATGGTGTTCCTCAAGGTTCTGTTTTAGGTCCACTTTTATTCTCCATATATATCAACAGTTTAGGTGAAAATGTGGATGAAGCTACTTTACATTTTTATGCTGATGATACCGTGATGTACTGTGCAGGTCCCTCCATTAAGGAGGCTGGTGTTAAATTACAGGCTGTTTTTAACATTATTCAGACTCAGCTCGCTGAGCTTAAGCTTATTTTAAATGTTGATAAAACCAAGGTAATGCTATTTTCAAAAGCTAAAAAGACACCAGAGCCTGTTTTGGATATTGTTACTATGCAAGGACAAGTACTTGAAGTGGTTACCAGTTATAAATACCTAGGTATCTGGCTTGATGATTGTCTTACTTTTAAACTTCATGTCAATAACCTGCTTAAAAAGCTGAGGGTTAGACTAGGTTTCTTTTTCAGAAACAAGTCCTGTTTCTCTTTTGAAGCCAGGAAAAGGCTAGTCACTGTGGCCTTTTTACCTGTGCTGGACTATGGTGATTTGATCTATATGAATGCACCTGCCCATTGCCTGGAAAAGTTAGATGCCGCCTATCACAGTGCACTGAGATTTGTTACTAACTGTAAAGCACTTACTCATCACTGTACCCTGTATGCCAAGGCAGGTCTGCCTTCACTAGCTGTACGGAGGCTCAGTCATTGGTACATGTTCATTTACAAAGCCATGTTGGGTAAACTACCTTTTTATATCTGCTCTCTGATCTCTCGACGAATTGAAAGTACATATTGCCTGAGATCTGATGATGTTGTTTTATTAAATGTGCCAAGTGCTAGGACTGTCTTAGGGAAGAAAGCTTTTAGTTGTGCAGCTCCACTAAATTGGAACAGTCTGCAAACATGTTTAAAACTGAGCACTTTGGTTCCCCTGCATCATTTTAAAACTCAGCTGGGTGACATGCTGTTTGATATTCATGGTACCTGTCAGTGTAAATAGAGTTTGTAAACTGTACCCTGTACATTATGTTGTTTGTCATCCTTATTGTTGTTCTGTTGTTTTTATGTTACATGCGTAACTAATGTCCTGCAGGTCACCCTTGAAAAAGAGATCTTTTGATCTCAAGGGGCTTCACCTGGTTAAATAAAGGCTACAAACAAACAAAACACTCACCATTGATGGCACCATTGTTTCCCCCTCCAATCAGGCACGCAACCTTGGCGAAATCTTTGACCCCACCCTCTCCCTCGAACCTCACATCCGCCAAACAGTCAAAACCTCAATTGTTCCACCTCCGCAATATTGCAAAAATCCTACCCTCTCTCACCCGCCCCGCAGCCGAACGACTAATCCATGCCTTAATTTCCTCCCGCCTTGACTACTGGAACTCACTTCTTTACGGCATCAGCACTACATCCCTCAACAGACTCCAACGGGTTCAAAATGCAGCTGCATGTCTCCTCACGCATACCAAATCATGGCATCACATCACCCCAGTCCTCAAAGACCTCCATTGGCTTCCTGTCTCCCATCGCAGCCGGACTCCTATCCATTCCCACATCCACACTCTGCAGCTTTGGGGACGGAGCCTTCTCAGTGGCAGCTCCTAGGCTCTGGAATTCCCTCCCCCAAGATCTTCGTGACTCTGAGTCCCTCACAGTCCCGCCTCAAAACACATCTTTTCAACTCTGTCTACCCATAAGCCCCCCCCCCCCCCCTCCCCTCTCAATCAACTTCCTCTTGACTGCCATTTTATTTATTTTGTATTTTATACTTACTTGTTTGCTTGTCCTTATTTTTCTACCCTCCCTCATACTGTAAAGCGTCTTTGAGTTGTGAAAAGCGCTATATAAATAAAATGCATTATTATTATTATAATTATTGGTCATGTGCGCGTTCGTGTGTGTTGGAGGAGGGGCTCTGTAAGGAAGTCTGAAGGAAGTGGCAGATTTTTTCCGGATGCTTACTTTCAAATTCTAGCGCACTCGAGCTGGTTTCTCCATTCGTACCTACCCTACCTTTAAAGGTCCCATGTCATGCTTTTCTGGTTATTACCCGTCCCCTTGTGTGTTATGAAGGTTTTTATGCATGTAAACGGTGTGCAGAGTCAAAACCCTCAAAGTACACCCTGTAGCGAGTAAAACTCTAACACAGAAAAGACCTCCCCAAAACGCCTCGTTGGAGATACGTCATTGTCCATTTGATTCTTCGGGGTACGCATGATGTCATCCGTACCCGGAACGAAATGGACCAATCCGTGGAGCCGTTACGTTACGTCCGCGGAGCCGTTACGTTAAGCCCCCGCTGATTGGTCCAAATTGACCAATCCACGGACATCCTCACACACTCAGTGCAGGCAGCTCTGCTGATTTCTCCTCCCTGGCTGCAGGCTGATAACAGACAGTTGGGATCGCGGCGAAATTCTCTCTGCAAACCCATTCTCACAGCGTTTATCAACCTATTTCTTACTCAATATCAAGCCACACTTATTGTTTTTTACTTCGGCTGTGACTTTGTGTGTGCTCAAGATGAGTTTGGCTGTGTTTCGCTGTGTATCGCTAAACAAGGAAATCACACCTCCACGGAGCTCAGCGCGATTCACAACGTCCCGACCAATCAGAGCACACTGTGCTCACAGGGAGGGTGGGGGCTGGAGCTATTGGAGCTACAACGAGCCGTTAAAGGCAGAGAGTGAAATTCAGTGAATACACGTAGTTTACAGAGATGCTGTATGAGAAACCAATGTGAGTTTGGAAAATTGCACAATATAAATCTATTCTAGTAGACCTCAACAATGGAATTATGATCAGTGGAAATGGCCATGACATGGGACCTTTAACATAACTCATTCTTTTGCAATTCTTGTTCATTATTTTGACACATGAGTTCTTATTTTAAGATACTTAAAGGTCACCTATCATGCTATTTTTAGGCAATAGCATAGGTCTCAGACATATACAAATATATAAAAAACACGTCTATAAAGTGTTTTGCTCAAAATACCAAACAGATCACCCATTCTAGCCATGCCTCATATCCCTCCATTTCACTTCCTGTTCCAAAAGTGCTGATTTGGGGTATAAAGCTTTAAAAAAAAAAAAAAAAAGGAGGGGGCTGAGCTCATGCGGGAGATTCTACCGGCAGATACTGTCTAAACTAAATACTGCGGTGATGAAACGCCATATCATGGATTATCAAGGATCATTTCTGAAACAGTATGGAGCTCAAAGGCTTTCTCTCTTGCCGGTTATACCACAATGTGAGTTCCTTTTTATTTCCTGCTTCTTCACACACATGCTCTCCAGTACAGGTTAGCTCTGAGTGTTAGCGATGCTAATGTAAACATGCACCGACCATATTAAGTCCAAAACAGTCTGGGATTGTTCCTGATAGCAACGTTTCTGACAGGGCCGTGGGTGTAAAGCCAGCCTACATTTCCGATATTACGTCATATAGGACGCAAATCTGAATCAGCTCCGTTGTAGCTCAGTTTTTAGATATTTGGGTACGGAGGAAAAGAGAGAGGGTTTTATTTTCTGACGCTGCGTGAGTTCTCCGACACACCGGGGACACATATTTATGTATAACAGACATCAAAAAGTGCATTTTGCATGATAGGTCCCCTTTAAGTGATCTTTTTGTCAAACTAGTAATTATTTAGAGATAGTGGTGAATGATATTGCGGGTATCTTAGACAACAAGCTGTGAGTTGTGCAGCTCTGTTTATTGATCTTTCCAAAGCTTTCGATACCGTCGATCATCATATCCTGAAGCAGAGGCCAGTTAGTATTGGCATATCCAGCCATGCAGTGGGGTGGTTTGTGAACTACCTCTCTGAAAGGTCCCAATGTGTTCATTTTGATGGGCTCACTTCTGAGTGGTTAAACATTACAAATGGTGTACCACAAGGTTCTGTTTTAGGTCCATTATTATTCTCCATCTATATCAACAGTTTAGGTCAAAATGTGGATGAAGCAACTTTACATTTTTATGCGGACGATACCGTGATGTATTGTGCAGGTCCCTCCATTAAGGAGGCTATTGTTAAATTGTAGGCTGTTTTTAATATTATTCAGACTCAGCTCTCTGAGCTTAAGCTTATTTTAAATGTTGATAAAACTAAGGTAATGCTATTTTCAAAAGCCAAAAAGACACCAGAGACCACTTTGGATATTGTTACTGCGCAAGAAAGTAGTGGAAGTGGTTACCTGTTATAAATACCTTGGTATCTGGCTTGATGATTGTCTCTCTTTTAAACTTCAGGTCAATAACCTGCTTAGAAAGCTAAGGGTGAAGCTAGGTTTCTTTTTCAGAAACAAGTCCTGTTTCTCACTTGAGGCCAGGAAAAGGCTAGTCTCTGTGACCTTTTAACCTGTGCTGGACTATGGGGATCTGATCTATATGAATGCACCTGCCCATTACCTGATCAAGTTAGATGCCGCCTATCACAGTGCGCTGAGATTTGTTACTAACTGTAAAGTACTTACTCATCACTGTACACTGTATGCCAGGACAGGTCTGCCTTCACTTACTGTTCGGAGGCTCAGTCATTGGTATATATTAATCTATAAAGCCATGTTGGGTAAACTACCAACTTATATCTGCTCTCTGATCTCACAGAGTCGCAAGTGGCTATTGCCTAAGATTCCAGGATGTGTTTTTATTACATGTGCCAAGTGCTAGGACTGTTTTAGGTACTAAAGCTTTTATGTGCGCAGGTCCTCTAGCTTGGAATACTCTGCAATTTATTTTGAAACTAAGCATTTTGGTTCCCCTGCATCATTTTAAAGCTTGGCTGGATGAAATGCTATTTGATACTCTTGGTACCTGTCATTGTGAATAGGTTTGTAAATTGTACCCCTGTAATTATGTTGTATGATGTCCTTTTTGTTTTCTGTTGTTTTTCTGTTTTTCATGTGTAACCAACACAGGTCTCCCTTGAAAAAGAGATTGTTGATATCAATAGGCGCTTTCACACCGGAGTACTTTTTCCAGTATAGTTCCGATAGTTCTTGGAATTTTGTGTTCACATCAAAAGAAATCCGGAACTAGAACTTAGTTCATGAGAACCTTTTCACACCCTTTTTAGTCCCTGCTAGAGAGCAGGTACTATCCTGGGGAGAAAAAGGTTCCCATTTCTGATTGGCTGGGTGAATTGCAAACCACGCCCCGTAAAACTCAGAAAAATGTTGTGAAGCCGCCATTGTATTTGCTGGCATTAGCATTATTAGCATTAGCATTAGCCCAGCGCAGAAACGCAGAGAGACTAACTTATGGCAACACAAAAGAAAACATGGGAGCGGTGGAGATGAGGAGGTGTCGGCGTTCTGGCGATTTACTCGGAAGGCTTCAGTAGAAGCTGCTGGGAGTCCCAGCAGCTTCTACTGAAGCCAGTCCCCAACTCCGGGGACTTCGGGTGGCAGTATACGCTGTGAAGTTGTTTGCGGCCTGCCAGTAAACCCAAAGCAGAAGAAGAAGAAGTGACGTCAGTGGCTTCATTTGACTAATCCTCCCTCAGGGACTTATTCCGGTGTGAATGCGATCTGCTCTTTAGTTCATCAGAACTAAAGAGTTCTGATGAACTAAGTACTGGGAACTAAGTACGGCAAAGTACTTGGTGTGAAAGTGCCTAATGGGATTTCACCTGGTTAAATAAAGGCTACAAACAAACAAACAAGATACATAGATATTTTTTAGAGATTCTCAGTTTTTTTTCTTGAGGAACTAAGTCATTATTTTGAGATACTAAGTCATTGTTTTGTGAAACTATTCTTTTCTGTGACATGTTAAGTCAGGAGGAAATATTTTGTTTTAAAGTTTTTCATCTTGTTTTTTTCTAACTGGCAAGATGTGCTTCCGTATAGAGGACTGTGTGTATTGTACTCTGACATGCTCTATCCAAACAAACTGCTCATGTGTTTATTTATTGATTGCGCAGTTAGAACTCATGAAACTGCCACTCTTGTTTATTTAGTTTCACTGTGGTGCTGTGACTGTGAGGAGTAACCAACCCTTTGTAACGTCGTTGATGCAGTATTTGAAGTCGGGTCCTCCGCAGCTCCAGGACATGTCCTCCAGACTGAACGACTGATTTGAACGCAGCATGATGATCTCTATGGCGCTCGACTTCAACAGAGCAATCTGGTCTTCTGCCGTCAGATCCCTGGAACACAGAGTCACAAACACAAGTTAATATGGACATTTTAAGCAAAACTGCATTCTTAATAATTAAACTTGTGTTTTTCATGGGATGGTAATAGGATAAAATGTTGTGAGTTTCGTTTCACAAAAATGTCAACGTTTTGAAAAATATAACAAAATTAAAAGAAAAAACCTTTTGACAAGAAATATATACCAAAAGTTGACTAAAATGTAATGACTTTAGTCGACAAAAACTGGAGTAAAGGTTTTGAGTTTTCATGGACTCAAACTAAGATGGATTAAAATGACTAAAATGTGACCAAAATTAAAAAAGCATTTTTGTCTTAAGTTCATTTTGGAAAAAAAAAGATTAGTTAGAGATCTGCTTACAAGATAAAATAAATATGTCTCACTAAAGACACAAGAGAAACACTGTAACACACATAGATTCGGCAATAGCTTTTAGCTAACTACAGCAGCAAATGCCAAAGGTGACGTCCTTTGGCAGTGTGTGGAAAACAAACAAACAAACAGCAGTTCAAGTGGTGCAAATGAAGTGGGATGAGAATTCACTTCAAAACAACATTAGTACTCTCACGGGAAGGGAGGACAGATCGGGTAGCGAGTGACGTGTTGTTGTTGTCGTGGTTGTTGTTGTTCTTTCGTAGCATAAATGAGCTGATAAATAATATGATAACGTGAAGTCAGATTGGCGTACTGACTTGAGTTCTAGCCCATTAACGATTCAACATTTAGGCTTTATTGGACTCATTTCAGACACTGGTATGGTAACAACAGGCCATGAAAAGCGCAAACACAAGCACAGTGCACCTGAGGCCTGCACTACGAATCCAGTTCAACAGACCCTGGATATGTTTGAGTTACCCCGGCTTAACTAACCCAAAACAAACGCGATCTCGCTAAGCGGTCCTACGACGCTGGTTATCAACTCGGTAACTCAAGCCAGGGTTTCTCTGTCCGGCTGAGTGGGTGTTCACATGAAAGGGGCGGGGTTAGCAACATTTGACCTATCACAAACATGGACAAGCATACTGACAGCGCAGCGTCATACTTCCTGAATGAGAAGAAAACTATAATATTAGACAAATATGAAGAAGACGTTAAACTTTAAACATCCATGACTTAAACACTTAATCCAGGATAAAAGCAACATAGCTGGTAAAAAAAAAGTGTTTGAATGCGTGCATGAACAGGTTTATGATATCACTGCCCCGTCTAAGACAGGAGTGGATCTGACTTTAATTACATTTGACTCGAGTGTTTCGTCAACTTAATGTGTTGCTTAAAATAATACTTCTGCATACAGTATGTGACACTGAGTGTTGCACGGCCAGATACGGCTCAGCTGACTCAGATAAGGAGATATGATACATTATGATGATAATGGGGCACTCAGTGCCGCAGACTGTACGTAATGTTACTTTGATCCGGTTACTTGTGTTGTGGCAGATATTTAAGTAAGCGTTCTTAACGCTAATGTTATAATAGTCAGATTGCTCTGAAGATGGGAGGTGATATTCTATTCATTTTCATGTTTACAGTCGGTGATTTTTGCCGGCCGTCTTTCCTGCAACGGCAGTTTAAACTGTATTTCCTTTCTCCTGTAATATGACTTGAGAGCTTTAAACTCCACACACTGAGCTCTGATTGGTCAGCAGGCGGTGCTTTCACTGAGTTGATCTCTTATCCTGGAACCAAGGAGCAGGTTTGCCGTTCAGCATAAGTTACCATGGAGATCTAGCCCGGTAAGAAGTGACCCAGCGTCGTACGACCGGAAACCCAGAGTTTTCCCTGAAGTTAGCTCGCTAAGCGAAAATCCGGCTTCGTAGTACAGGCCTCTCCAGACACATGTTTCAGAAGTAAACAAAGGAGTGTGGGAAATAAACTCCCTCTTGAGGAAACTATTAGATTTTAGCCTTTGCAGACCATTAACATGCACACAAACCCATATAACCCACTACAGGAAAGGGAAACCCTGAAAAGCAGGTTAAGGCCCCTTTAAAGTTTGTGTAATTATTTGTAGGACAATTAATTGTCTACCAAAATTGAAAATAGTATTGGCCCTGTTAGACTGACCGTTGAGCGTCCCGACCAAGCAAGGAGGCAGAGGCAAAACATCCCAAATGCAACCCGGTGTGGGCATTTATTAAAATCATGTGCACATAGTTCACAGCCTCAATCCTGCTGTTCTCCCTGAACACATCTTGCAGCCACAAGGATCTCACACCACATTACAAACAGGAAACACAGAGCCTAAATACCCACAGACTAATCAATCAACAAGACACAGGTGAGGGGGGAGGAGACAACACAGGGCACCAGATGCACACAATCAGCAGCAACAGACATGGGTGAGTGATATGTCAACTTTACACAGTGGTAACTTGTACAATTAATGCAGCTTAACGTCATGATTCTCACACCCTCAACATATTATTTGCACCCTGATTATTCTCAACCGCTGTCATTCTTACACCAGCATAAATACTGTCGGCGCTCTCGCTAAATCCCCTATCTTTTCAGGCGGAGCCGAGGACCCGACCAGCACCTGCCAGACGACATTCCAATCAATACGGTTTAATCAGTTAATAAATACTACCTCAATAATTAGTATAAATTATGTAAAATGTGCAAATATGCAATGCCAAACTGTTCACTAAATTGCTGAGTTACAAGGCCCCGAAGCCGTCAGTCCACAGTGACGAAGTTACCTTCGTCACAGGCCCTAACAATGCAGCTCTCAACATTGACGACAGAGCTATACGTTATGACATTGTTGCAATACATTCTCTTTATTTTCCCACAGGAAAGCCTCCTAACTACACACAGCTGAGATCATAATAAGGCAAGCAGAAGGAATATACTTAAATATACCAAAAATATAAGGTCCCTCTGTTTATATTCCTGTTTACGTTACATGCAAACACACACGTATGCATTATGTATGCCCATATGTGCCTCCTCTATTATTTCATTATGTGCTCTCTGTATGTGCATACATTTAGAAACTTATCTCTCAGCACAGCGTGCATTTATAAAGCTCAGCTTGTTCCTGTGTATTCCTGGAAGAGCTTGTTTGTTTGGGAGCGATAATAACATATCACCTCACCCAATGCTGTCCTGCATACTGGCAGGCAGCAAATCAAAGTGCTCTGCATGTGGGAGAGGCCTGTTTGGGCTGCTAGCCTTTGTGATTGTACGTGCTACTGGTTGGATGTAGCAGGATTTTTACAACAAATCATTACAGCACTCAGCAAAGCAGCAGAGAGCTGCAGGGGAACAAAGTTTAATTTTCAACATGGCCACAATATGATTTATTGTACCAGTGGATTTAATATATATTTATGAACAAAGTTGGGAGCAAAGGCCGCTTCAGCAGACTTGATTCAATCTACGAGGAAATACTTTAAGGTAGACACCTTATATACAACACAGCTTATTAAAAAGAAAAACAAGGCAAATAAATATGCAAATTAGTAAAAATAGAAAGATAAATGAATTAATGAAAAAGCTTAAAAATAAATAAAGCTATACAATGTAAAGAAAATGATTCATCCTAAACAGGAATAGTGTAAAAATAAAAGTTAGATACAAATTAAAAAAAGTAATACATTTCAAATTGTTCTGCATGTGATTCTAGAATAATTCAAATCCAGTCTATAATGCCTTACAACATACAAATTGTGTCTTTTAATTCATCTGACAATTATTTTCTTGATCAGTCTCATTTTCTATGTTTTCCATAAAATGTCGATACATAAACATGTCCACCATAATTTTGCAGAACGAATGGAAATATTATTACTAGGGCCGGGACTCGATTAAAAAAATTAATCTAATTAATTAGAGGCTTTGTAATTAATTAATCGAAATTAATCGCATTTTTAATCACATATAAATATTTGACCTGAGAACAGTGAGAAGCAATTTTTTTCACAGGGATTTTAGTATACCATTAGGCGCATTCACACCGCAGTACTTTTCCCACAAAGGTTCATGAGAACTTAGTTCATGAGAACTCTTTGAACCTGGGGGTGGATTAGGCAAATGAAGCCGCTGACGTCACTTCTTCTTCTTCTGCTTTGGGTTTACTGGCAGGCCGCAAACCACTTCACGGTGTATACTGCCGCCCAAAGTCCCCGGCCGGAAGTCCCCGGAGTTAGGGACTGGCTTCAGTAGAAGCTGCTGGGACTCCCAGCAGCTTCTACTGAAGCCTTCCGAGTAAATCGCCAGAACGCCGACACCTCCTCATCTCCACCGCTCCCATGTTTTATTTTGTGTTGCCATAAGTTAGTCTCTCTGCGTTTCTGCGCTGGGCTAATGCTAATAATGCTAATGCGAGGATAATAAAATGGCGGCTTCACAAAACTTTTTGCGAGTTTTACGGGGCGTGGTTTGCAATCCGCCCAGCCAATCAGAAATATAGCTCTTTTCTCACAAGAGAGCCGCACGGAAGTCCCTGCTCTCTAGCAGCTCTCTGCTCTCTAGCAGGGACTTTCGTGGGGGTAAAAAGGTTCTCATGAACTAATTTGAGTACCGGCTCTTTTTGGTGTGAACGCGATAAAAGAGGCTAACGTCCACGCTAGCTGCTATATGTTTTGCATTGAGGTGATACTTGAGGCTTGATGTGCTGCGGTGATATGCGAATTCCTTTTTGCATAATTTGCACACAACCGTGCTCTTATCGACGCTTCCATCCGTCCGTTTTTTAAAACAACATTTCCCACTGTTGTTCACTGTGGTTTGTTGTTGTCTGAAGTCATGAACATTAGTTGGTGCTCCAGTATAATCGGTACGCCTGAAACTCATCCAGTGAGAAACGTTCCGCGGTGCAAAAATAAGTGCGATTAAAATGCGTTAATTTTTGTGTAATTAATTCATCTTAATTAACGCGTTAAAGTCCCGGCCCTAATTATTACAGAATATCATTATTATTTAAAACCAATGAATCAGCAAATCAGTTTCAGAGAGTAGAACGAGCGAATAGTTGGCATTTTCACTTGATAATGACTCAAACAATGAATAGATTTGTTTTTTTATAAGATAAAGATCAAACGATATTGTTATCTTATAAGATCCAATGTCTCATTTTTAATTCCTCGAGTAGAACCAAATTTGAAAAATCTGTCTCAGCCCACCAATAGAAGACATTAAATTGCAGTATTGCATATTATTTTGTGACATAAAAGATACATCTGACTTTGTTGAGTGATAGGAAGAAAAATACAGGGTGCAAGACAGTAGTCCCTGCTGCTCTCCTGTGATGAACCTGAACATCTACCAGCCATCATGGCAGTTCGTACCTGAAGCCTGGGATCATCTTGGCGAAGCCGATGACCTTCTGGATGCTGTAGGACACCAGGTCTGCCAGGTGGGGCAGCATGGAGAGCTTCTGGTCCTCCTCGCTGGAGTCAGGGCTGCTCGCCCCGTCCTGGTACATCATCAACAGGCTGGTGAAGTTCATCTTGGTGTCCACAGACTCTGTTTGAGGAGACGATAGGACACAAGATGAACAACAAGGTAAGGAGAGGTGACAAAAAGGAACATTCCTAACATTATAAGCTAAAGAGATGGAAAACAAGGAAAGACATCAAATGACATTACAGTGGCACTAATATAAAGATGTCCAGGGGGTTAACCAAGGATTTATTACATTATTTTTGTTTTGGTTCATCTTTAAAAAGGGTTTTCTTGTAACTTATCTGTATATATTAATATTGAATTTGTTTATAAGCAATAGTTTTAGCTAGGGCTGCTCGATTATGGCAAAAATCATAATCACAATTATTTCTGGTCAATATTGATATCACGATTATTAAATACAATTATTCATTGACTTTGAAAATATCCATTTATTGAACTTTAAAAGAAATTCAAATAATAATTTGAACAGTATGTTTTGAACAGTTGATTACCCTGAACTTTATGTATAATTCAACTGAAAAACCAATACAAAACTGTATCAAATAAATAATACATTTGCATCTACATTTAAATAAATAATATCAAAATAATAAATACCAATAAAGAAGATAAACAAATATTTTGGAGCGCACTTCCACAACCTACTAAACATATATAAATATGATAACTAATGTCACTCACAACCTGTAATGTTTAATTATACTGCTACACGCAGTACTCTTATTTTGGTAACCCCTTATCCGGAAACCGGAAGTAGCGAGCTAAGAGGTTCCGGCTTGACGAGGTTAGTAAAAGTCAAGCCCCCAGGAAGTGCGCCAGACTCAGATGAAAATATTCGTGGTAGCCTAACAGCGGTACTACACTTCCGTTTGGTTGCCAGGCCCGGAAACACTTTTTCCCATTGACTTACATGGGGAAAGAGTGGTCTGTAAATTGTTGGATATATTTTTTTTAACTAAATAAACAACCCAGTATGAACACTTGTATAGCCCTTATTAAAAACATTAGTTCCTCAAGTTGTAAAAATGTGCTAATAACGTTATTCTGAGAGTTATTTCCCTCTGCATTATGCGCATCTAACCCACGGGACCGCGCCGCCCGGCACCTTCATGTTACGTGTTCAGCACTACATGAGTTTATCTTATTCTTTACCCATGGATGCACAATAAGAACGGACCCATATCGCCTTACTGCCATCCCACGGAGCTGTAAGAATGGATATATTGCACATGTTTGCTGTAATTCATCATTTGTAAAATATTATACTACATGGGCTGTATGATTAAATCTTGTACCGTAAATGTTGTATTAAATTAAAGTTAATATTACCGACGTTAGATTAACGTCCCTGTAGCTTCTTATTGCACTAAGAAGCTTATTGCACTGTGTGTATATATATATATATATATATATATATATATATATATATATATATATATATATATACAGTGCAATCATTCTTTCATGCTAAATGAAGCTCTGTTGCTTGGATATCACTAGATCCTGTTACAGCGTAATATAAGTACATAACGATTGATGTTCACATTAGCATAATTACTAGCTAGCCGCTAGCTGCTAACTGCCGCCTGGTTAATATCAAATCCATCATGAACGTGCGGTGCTGTTACGTGTACGCAGATTGACGTGCTTGATGTGAACGAGCATTTTGGTTAAAGTTGCGCATGCGCTATGAGCGCACGAGCATTTTGGTTAAAGTTGCGCATGCGCTATGAGCGCACATACGGGTACTTCTCAGGCATGCTGGGTAATCTGTGACGTTTCACTCTCTCAAAAGTTGGGCCATTTTATCATCATGCGCCAATGAGCAACTCTCATAGGAATGAATGAGGCCCCGCCTCCCACGCTGTATCCAGTTCTTATTATACATCCATGGTAAAAGTTGACAGAACGCTAGAGACCAGAGAATAAAGACACGGCAACTAAAGCTTCCCTTGTAACATGTTTATATGGATTTATTAAACAGACTGCAACACAACCTGACTGAGAGGGCTTTTAGGGAGGGGTGACAGCACACGCTGCATTCCCCAAGAGGAGGACTCACCAGGTGAGTGGTTGAATGAGTCAGAGGAGGCGTCAGACAAAGAGTGAAGGGAGGCGGCTCTGCTGGCGCTGCGTGTTACTGGACCTTCACGCACTGGAGGCTGCGGATACACACAGACAAATATTAATATCAATACTAATATGTCACTGTAATACACTGAATAATCAATAGGCCCCTGTGGCTGGGGGATGGTTAAGAATCTAGTTCAATTAATCCTCTCATCAGAGGTGGTGTTAAGAAAATATTTTTGCGACATTGACTGAATTGTTTTAACATTGATGGAAAAGTCTGAAGGCCGCCGTCATTTTGACAGACGAGGACACAGTGTGTTGACAAGAAAATGTTGTATCTCCATGACCTTATCAATGCAAAATCTAAGCTTGAGCTTTATTCTAAAACTCAGGACAGAGAGCACTTACTGTGGAAAGCTATTGATTTATGAGAGATGTAATCATTTCCAAATTCAAAACATGTTTTTATCTTATTAAATGTTCTGCTTCAATCCATATTGTTTCGTGTATAGCCTTCCAAAAACAACATTCTCACTGTAATAAAAAAAAAACCTTTCCAATTAATTCGAAAACCTATATAAAATAAATGAATTATTATTAATTTGAAAACCTCAATGGAAGCTTGGAATGAAACTAAATACATTTGATTAGGTTTGCAGACCTTGAAAATGCCTTTGTGTATCATCATTATAAAAAAAAGATGGTTAATAACATAGTAAGGTACATTTTTGCATCCCAGGGCGACCTGATTGTTTTGATCTGCAGAGAAAGAAAGCCGTCTGAAAAGATCGAGTTCATGATGTGCAGGAAGAAAAGAGGACGCCTCTGTCGGGCAGATAAACGCCTTTGTTGACTCGTGTTACGGGTGTCGAGTAGATTTAAAACACACACGGGCAATGCTGGCTCACGTGTTGGTGTGAAGTAAATATGGCTGTGGTTACACAAATTAGGACCCGGCCACATGAGGACGAAAACGGTCGTTTGCGTTACCGTTGTGTCATATAGACCGTTCGGCCACACGAGGACGACCGAATACGGCACTAAACGATTGCGGAAACGATAACGGGTCCCAAGGTGGATAGAACGGCATACGCAACGCTCTGGGGGGTCCAACGGCTGTACGCCCTATACGATAATTTTCTGATAATGATGAGGCAATAGCCCCACCTCTCCCCACCTCTGCTGCTCACCCCAGCGTCAAAGTAAACTGCACACTGAATTCAGATTATTTATCTTTCTCTCGATATGGACATAAACGCGAGTGAAGTCTAATCTGACAGGACGGAGACACCGCTCAAACTACCTAAACTAGTTATAAATATGTTTATTTTTACTGTCGGCCGGGTCACTCATTACTGGATCAGCTGCTGCATGAAACAGACACTGACGCTGTCCGAAGAGAGGGAGGAAAAAGAGAGGCTCCATGTATTTTATTATTATATTATATAGATTTGTTATTCATTTGTTTTAAAGCTCAATAAATAACAAAGAAGACCTTTGACCGGCACTTTTATAATTTTGTCAGGAAGATTTAAACTTTAATACACGTTGACTGGCGAACAACTCTGCCCGGTTCCCTCGGCCCCCACCGCGGAGAATAAACAGAAGAGCAACCATGACAACCATGCTTCTTCACTGCTTTTGTGGAGGAAGTTACAGCGCCACGTACAGGCTCCTGCATATGTACTGCAGCTTCTCCAGCGGTTGGAGCTAAACGGAGCTGTCTCATGTGGACAGACACTATCCGGTGAATATTGCGTGTGGACAGAAGCTTTTTTGCGATTGCGTTTTCGTCCTCGTGTGGCCGGGGCCTTAAATAAAGCTATCCCACGATCACAGGAACTAAAATCCTATGGCTTTTCATTCATTTGATAACACTTATTATAAATCAGACTGTCACTACCACCCCACATGTATAAGTGCCTTTACCCAAACTGTTTTGAAGATCCGAGAAGAGCACAGTAAGCTAAACAACAATTCAGCTTAAGTTAATCTTGTACATTTTGGTTTGTTTAGTGAAAACCATTGCATATGTGATTACACTTTAGTATGTATTAATTACTTATTAATACCCTTATACCAGGGGTGCCCAACCTTTTTTGAACTGAGAGCTACTTTTAAAGTTGCCAGTCTGCCGAGATCTACCAGTCCAAATAGAGAGGCGTAGTTACTGACAGCCTACTACCAGGTAAATACACACTTTTACTTGTATAAAACTGACCTTTGTACGATTAATACTTCATAAAATACTGCAGCAGATCCTTTATCTTACCTCTTTTTAATCATACAAGTATTTAACTGAAGTTACACAACAGTGTTGTTGATACAGAGTTGGAGTTTATTCACACGTCACATACTACAGTGGGTAATGTTTTCAAGAAACATTGAACAGTGCTGCCACATATGTAAAAATGTGAAAATACTCTGAACCCTTTCTTTGCCATTATATAAAAATAGTGTTGCTACAAAAGTATAAATGAGGCTTACTAATAAGACAACTGAGATCTGAAGCTACACAGGAATCTGCTGCCAAAGTGCAATAAAAAAGACAAAATTAATAGAATCAAACCCTTTTTTTTTGCATTTTAGTAGAGTATAAAAATAAATGCCTTTAAAATAGGATGCAAGCAACACTAGTTTCTTAACCTGAATTGATAATAGACTATAATCAATTTAAGTTTGCATTCTTATACCATTTTGTACAATAAATATAATGAATAAGTTCAAACAAACTAAAACTTACAGCTGATTAATAACAGTATCTAACTTGAGTTTTTATTATATCAAAAACCTGTTGAAATGCTACTGTTATTTTTACTGTCCCCAAAAAGCGCGTCGGCAGCCTCCAGGAATGCTTCTTTCACAACTTCGCCGTCTTTGAAAGACTTCATGTGTTTCGCAAGAACGTGACTGACACGATAAGATGCTCTGGTAGCAGCCTTGCTCTTGTTGTTGGGCCGGGTGAAAATGGACTGCTGTGCATTTAGCTGTCCTTTCAGGCCCCTCCCCTTTTGGGAGCGTAGGGCAGAATTAGGAGGGAATTCCGTCTCGTAGCGTTTGTGCACTGTTTTGAAATGCCTCCTAAATTACCCTTCTTCGATAGAGCCACGCTCGCATTGCAGATGAGACAGATGGACTTTGAATTGGAATAGATAAAAAAATAATCATCCTCCCACTCGGAGTGAAAATTATATATTTTGGGCTTTTTTGCTTCTGCCATAATTGCGGTCTTGTGTGTGTGCGGACTGTCACTCCTGTTGACACGAACAACGTCAGCGAAATAGTGCCCACTTCCCACCAGCCACGCCCCAACACATGGGGTCACGCCGGCCAATCACAAAGCTTTGATGCGTTCAAGTGCATTATTCTGGCACAGGAAGATTATGTTCTAGGACATTTTCGATAAAACAGAATATTGTTGTTCTATTTTTAGACACATTCGACTGGGAATCTCCCCGTGATCGACCGGTCGGGACTGGTTGGGCACCCCTGCCTTATACCATAGCCACTTGCCAGAAAAACACCATATTTAAAATATAAGTGTTTTATCTGGACATTTTCAAGATGTAATCCTTATGTACAAACATTGAATACAGTTCCCAAGCCTCAGAATTGTTTTAATAAAACAGGTGACCGTAAACTGAACTCCTAGAAGCACACCTGCATTACATCTAATTGCCATAGGATTCACCAGAGAATAAAACAAAGATCTTCTTGTTTGAAATACTGACAAAAAAAAGTTCCTATTGATACGTATTACAACGAAAACGTGGCACCTCTTGCTTATTAACAATAGACTGTAACAATATGCTTACAAATATATATATATATATAGAAAAGCGTAGACGATAAGCTAACATTAGAGGACTTAGCTAAGCAAGTTAGCTAGCTTAATGATTTATTAAGTAGTACAGTAAAAACGTAACATGCACACAATCACTGTTGCACTCTGCTGCTCTGTCGTGCAGGGACTGAACTGCTGAGAAAATCAAAAGTAGGTTTCAACAGCACTCAGTTAGCAAACAGTCCAGTTTGTGCCAGAGTGCACTCCTTTACTACGAGGGCCTTTTACCAATGCATTCAAAGTCTCTTCCTGAATCCGTTTAGACATCAAGAGTCATTTAATACCAAGCACAAAAAAAGACTAGCTCCAAGATGTGTACCAAAGCCTCACTTGTTCTGACTCGTTGCGTTCAGTTTAATAATGGTGAGATCATCTAGAAGTACAAAAAAATTACCCAAAGATGTTGGGTTATACTGTCTCGTTACTAAAAGTTAATCCAGCCAACAAAAACCTGAAATTATCAGTGGCCATGGTAGAAGGTGAGTAAGTGCAGTTACATAGTTTCACCTTCAACCAATTACGGCTAGGGTACAAACTAAGAGAGAGAATGCCAAGGTCTGTTGTGGTGTGGTAAACCAGAGCAGATGGCATCCATGTCCTATTGTCGAATTGTTTTGTTTTGTTTGATCAGTTCTTAGGACTTAGCATTGGACATCTAAGGAATATAGTATTCATCTACTTTATTCATAAAGTGAAGGCTAACTCGCATACAATGTGCTGTATGTATTAGTGTTGTCACAATACCAACATTTTGGTTTCGTTACCGATACCAAGTCAAGAATTGCGATTCCGATTATTTTTCGTGGTCTCTTCTTTATACTTGAGTTTATGTGATTTCTTTGATAGTTAACTTTATATTTTATTAACATGTAATAGTAGGCTACAGTAATATAAATAATTATTGACCAAATGTACATTGCAGATGTTAGCCACATTGGTAAGTTAGCTAAAAAGATAGCCATATTAGACAGTTATCATTGCCATTATTTGCCTCGTCAAACTACGAAAACGTTTGTTTGTCACAAAATAAATTACACTTGTTTGACTTAGATTTGAGGGCATGGGCTTGAGCATGATGTAATTATGTTATCTATCACAGTTTTCTCACATGCTCTGGCAGCTAGCGCGTGCACGAGAGAGGGGAGGCACTTAGAGCGTGCTTGAGAGGGGAGGGACTGCAGGCACGGCTGCAGTGCAGGGAGTGGGAAGCAGAGCGCTGAATACACACGGCTCTTATTAAAACGGCGCTTTCTCACCGGAGTACTTTTCCCCGTCATTCTTACCGATACTAATGAAACGAAGGAATCGTAACGTTTTTAACGGCAGGGTATCGCGGTACCTTTCAAGTATCGGTACACCATGCAACACTAGTATGTATCTCGATTGGTAAATATTGCTTCTGTATTAATTTACTTTTCAAAAATAACACGTATTATTATGGTCGGATACCATGCTTCAGGGAACCCTCCCTTCCATTGCATGACATCATGTCCTGCTCCACCCATAGTTATGGTTAATGTTAGGGAAATAATTGTCCGAGACTCCTAGATATGACGTGCATGACCAACCCTGACGTCTGTTATCTCCTTTAAGGAGATAGGCTGCTTCAGCCATAATGTTGTTTTTCCCATTCTATGACCGGGCAACCCTAGGTCACAGATGGTTTATTGTTGTGGGTACACTGGAACACTTCCTTCTCGGTGTTTGTGGACTCCAAGGTGTGAAATCTTCGAGGCCATAAGTGTCAGACGCAAGTAACTCAGTGTTCCCAACTGTTTAGGCTATCTTCTCAAATATGTTGATTACTCTCTGTGAAACCAGTTAAATGGGCTAACGAGAGAGAGGCACTCCAGAATTGACATGGCAACTCTCCCGTGCAGTCAGACCGTGGCTGCTGTGACTTGTTTTGTGAATTCTCCGGCCGTAACTCCAAATAAACCATCAGTGTTTGACATCAAAGCTCCTGCTCTTCCCGTGTCTCCTTCATGAGTCGGTGACTCCCACTGCATTGCTACACAGAAGTTTCCCCCACAGTTAACAACAAAGTGACTTAGGGCTGAACTGAGGATAATATGATTGTGGTTTTGGTAAAATAAGAGACTTTGTACTGGACTCACCCTGAAGCGGGAGAAGTCGGAATAGGAGGCATCGTAAGTCTTGTGGTGGGCTTCCACGAGACTGGAGATGATGCGGGCCTGCTCCTCGTTTAGACGTGGCCTCATCGCCTCACGGGCTGCTTCCTCCTCTTTCCTCTTCATTATCATGTCCTTCTTCCTCTGAACCTCCTCGTCTGTCAGGATGACTGCAATCCAGATGAAACAGAGGATATATTTAATATCTCTAGCTAAGAACAGTAAAAAGAAAAACACACAATTTCACAAATACTGATATTGAATGTGCCAAAAGAAAAGTTCAAAGAAAAAGAAAATAATTCCCGCAGTCATGTCAATACAAACATTGCAAAACTTTTTTTAAAGTATTTTTTTATCTTTAATGAAAGAACCAAAAGACAGCTGCAAACAAGTCTTGCATCAAGAGGTAACTCTATTAACACCCCGTGTATCACAAGGTTGTAACTGATCTTCTCATTGTGTCTAATCCAGTGAAAGTAAACACATCCACAGGTCCACACACGTGGTGTCACACGGTGTAGCTCTCCTTATACTATCTGCATATCAATGGTGTTAAGCACAGGAAAAAACCAACGGTCATAATTGTTACTTGAGGAGTGTCACCCCTAGTTTCCTAGCGCCGCGGTTTTGGTCCGGCCTCCTCCAGCGTCATACCCTACCGGGCACGTTTCACGAGCGTTTCAGAAGCATTACGGAAGCGGAGCGTCGTGCATGCCGGATCGCAGTTCTTGTTGATTTGGGCATATTTCCTGGACATTTGTACTTCTACAAGAAAGTAAGTAGGCTACGTAGTTAAATGGTTTATTTTTGTGTCTGTTTAAATCGTGTTTATTGTTGTTATTTCCTATTTTGATGTGTTGTAGACTACAGACATAATTAATAATAATTGTAATAGTCCAGTTAAAAGCAACATGAATCAAAGATGGGTTGCTGTATTTTAGTGGTAAAAAAAAATGCATTCATCATCATAATTATTCTATATAATTTACACACAGTGCCTGTAAACCGAAGGAGAACGCTGGCCTTTATTCTCCTACTGGAAAGACTACAGAGGAGGGATTGGGGGAGGAGAAGGAACCGGTTTTGGGGGGTGGGCCGGATGCTGTCACCGTTCCACTTCCTGCCCGACATTACCTTACGGCTGCGTCGCGTCGAAAAATAGACTTCAATCCTATTTCCAGCGGAGCCCAACGGCGAGACGCTTCTGTGACGCTTCTGAGCCGTAACGCGGCGCGTCTGGTGGAATAGCACCCATTGACTAGAGTGGCCGCGATCCTTGTGGACGCCGCAGCGCAGCCGCAACGCGCCCGTAACACGACGCAGACGGACCCAGTGGAAACTAGGGGTAAGCGTGCAGGAACGAAGGAGAATCTGTCGTTGTGTGAAAGAGGATAGTAATACAACTGCATAAAGATAAAAATAAAACGTTTTCTCATGATATGCCTTTCGGTTTGTAATCGGGGTGGGAATCATCAGGCTCCCCACGATACGATACTATCACGATACTTAAGCCACGATACGATAGTATTGCGATTCTACGATATGCTAAGTATTGCGATACAATATATTGCAATATTGCAAATCACATGGGTCATATATCCATGTCCGTCTTCCCTTCCTGGTGAAAAAATGTATTTGCAATATGAACAGTGTTGGGACTAACGCGTTACTGTAACGCCGTTATTTTTGGCAGTAACTAGTACTCTAACGCATTACTTTTTAAATTCAGTAACTCAGTTACCGTTACTACATGGTGCGTTACTCCGTTACTACGTTTTTTTATATAGTCAAAAGCCAGGCGAACAGAGATGAGAACTGTACTTAAGTACAGTACTTGAGTAAATGTACTTAGATACTTCCTGTGTCACGTGCGGAGACGGGCGTGTTTGTGTTGTTTACTAACAAAGACTATCATGGCGGCGGCGGAGCTCAAGTCTAGTTTCTCCACCTGGAGATATTCTCACTATTTGACTTTTGTCGAGCACAAAGAAAAGAACGTTTTAGTTAAATGTAAGTTGTGTCCTGGCGGGTCAAAGAGCCTATCTACTGCCCAAACCAGTAATTCAAATCTCTTAAAACATCTGCAAAAACAACATGCTGGGACGAAGCTAGTAGCTAAGACCACAGAGACTCAGCCGACGCCACTCCACCTCCACCTAAGCAACAGCGGCTGGATTTTAACCAAGGGACTGCTAGCCAGGGAAAAGTCGATAAAGCCATTGCACGGTATGTTGTAGAACACATGCAGGCTATTGCTACAGTGGAGTCACCCGCTTTCAGGGAGCTAGTTAGCATGATAGCATGTCCGGGCGGCACACGGCATATGGGACGGAAAACGTTTTCCAACTACCTGGAGAAAGAATATGCAAAAATGGAAAGCCAGCTAATATCGATGCAATCCAGATTGCATATAAGGCATGTCAAGTTGATCAACAGATTGTATTATTCTCCAATGCAATAACAGTACTGAAATGAAGGCTATAAGGGCATTAATGGGAGCCCTTTTTTTAAGTAACGATAACGTTTTCACAGTAACGCATTACTTTTTGTGTAAGTGATTAGTAAAGTAACTGAGTTACTTTTGAAATGAAGTAACTAGTTACTGGTTTTCAGTAACTAGCACAACACTGAATATGAATAGTTTATGTAAATAACCCACATTTTTGTGTTATTTGAACCTGAAAAGGAGATGCTATGCTGTATTGATTATTTCCCCCACCCCTAGTTTGTAATGTATTATATGTATTGTGCATCAGGCTAATATCATCTTACAATTTCAGCTTATTGTCTTCTCTCCAAGGTGTTTTACAATTACAGGGTGGTATTTTAAAATGTTATGCTTTTTCGGGGGGTTATTTAATTTTGTAGTTCCCTTAAAAAGGCCCTATTATTCTTTTGAAGTGTGTTGTATAGGAATGTGTGCATGTAAATGGGCTGTAAATGGGCTGCAAAGGGTACAATCCCCAAAGTTCCCTCCAGAGGGAGTTTCTCTTCAAATACCATTATATCTTTTATTGCCCTTATTTTTGGGGACAATATACTGTCCAAGAAAAGTTGAGATCGCCTAGTTTTGACCAACACTGAAGGAAGAAATTGGATGTGTTACCTTGAAAACACTCAGTTTTAAAGATGGGTTGTGGATTTAACAAAAAATAAGTGCTACTTGTCAGCAGTTAAACAAGCTTTCAGAACTAAGTGAAGGAGCTGTAATGTAAGCTCCAAATATTTTCATCCATGAACTATACATCTCCTGAGCTTGGCACGCAGGAGAGGCTGTCTTCTGCTTTTTCATACGGCTGATGCGGCGGGTGTTGGATGTTTATGTGCCTTTTGCCTTATTCATGCTGCAGGAGCGGAGACTGCAGGCGGAGAGGAACGCTGAGATGAAGCGTTGGGGAATTCCTGGGTTTGCATGCCACTTCAACATGCCTGAAAGAATTACATTACTTTGTGATCTTATATTCACAACACTCATTATTCATTATGGATCAGAACAGATTTGCATCTACCTCTATTTGATATGAAACCCAATGCACTCCAAGACAAAGAATGATTAGTATAAGAGTTGTTATACCTTTTAAATAACAAATAAATTAGATTTAAGTGGCATTTTAGTATGAGCCAACCACTGCCTCACAGTAAAATGCTGTTATTGGGAAGAGTGCAGGATGTGCTCTGTAGCCTTATGGATCATTGTTGCAGTAAAATAACAGAAGGGAGTAGGGGAGAACTGAAAACCTCGGCACCTGTGCTGTGAAAATATAGTGTGAATGACAGAAAGACTGTTGCCAAGCCGTGTTAGATAAGGCTATGCTATGAACTGAGTACTGAAAATCCAGCTTGAAGGCCATTAGTGGAGATACTGATTTAGACTAGGGATGGGAACGATTAATCGAATATTCGAAATTATTCAGGTGTGAGAATATGAGTTATGAATATTTTTATTGTAATTTTATTTTATTTTTTTTATTTTTTTGGGAGGGGTGCCTAAGTTGATTACATATTATCAAATGGAATAATTCAATGTATACGATAGTGCCACAGCTAAATGTGTTAGGTGACTAAAGGTGTGTTTTGCTCCGCTCACCGGTCCCTCACAGCGGGCAGAGCTGCAGGTGCTGATCTCTCTCTCTCTCGCGTCCGGTTATACTTCACTCGCGTTTAAGTTCAATACATTTGACAAATTCGACTTGGTTTCTATACTTATTTGAACATGTATTTATTTATTTTTCTAAATTAGGTTATGTACATTTCGGTTAATCGGTTAACCGTTTTTCTGGGGGTCGAATATTCAAATATACATTTGCTTTCAAATTCCCATCCCTAATTTAGACACAGTAGCAACTGCACCTCTGCCTATTGATTTATTCAGGGAAGATACACCTAGCATCACTCTGGTTCCTCACAACAATAAGCAAATCGGCTAACCCTATCCCCACAACTAAGCTTCCAACTTGTATCTTGTTTTGTTTTTTTAAAGTGATACAAAACTAACATTTGAAAATACTAGAAACTAAAACAAAGTCACGAGGCTGTGAGGCGAACTATTGACAACGTTAAATGTTATCGACATCTGCAATCTCAGGCACTTGTAGGCATCCACCTTGTGAAGACATGTAAACGCTTGAAAATTGAATGACGTATTTTATGTTGTAAGAGAGAAAATAAATAATCAAAAGCTCCTAAACTGATGTAACCATAGACCTTTTTTTAGACACCTCAAAACCTCAACATAAGTGAACAGAAGTGCAAACATGCTAACTAATTTCTGTGGTTGAGAACTCGATGAAGTTTATAATAATTGTATCGAGTTATCCTCCCAAATAACCACCATTTTTATAATAAACGAAAATGAAATCACCAAAAGAAAAAAAAGCTAAACCTTTAGCAAACTACACCACATGACTTCGACATCACTACCTAACTTGTATCTTCATGTTTGGGAAGTCAAAGAAGTAATAATTGGAAATGACTATAAATCTAAAAATATTGGTGATGTTTAATGTCCCCAACACATCTGCAGTCTCATTTAGGCACCTGTTAGCAAAGGCCTTTTTGTAGAAATGTAAAGGCCTCAAAATCCAAGAGTGTGAGGTATTTTAATGTCATACACTGTATAAAAAAACTCTTAAAACACATACTTGATTTCAGGCACCTTACAAAAACGTCA